TGTGGGGGGGTGTGTGAGTGTGAGTGTGTGTGTTACAAAAGTAACAAAAGTAACAATAGATAGTCTTTGCGATAATGGCCACATTTAACCAGTATTAGATCGCTACAAAAAAATTGGATAAGAAAAATTATAATATACAGACGGAGCAGACAATAGCAGAAAACACACCTTGCACTCTTGCGCCTCACAGTAGTTCAGAATGTGGACAAAATCAGAAGCGGAAACGACGACGAGCTTATAAGACACACGCGCTACCTGTGCATGGTGTGAAAGAAAAAAAGGTTGGGGTGGGGGGGGGAGGGGGGGGGGAACCAGGTAAGCTTTAGCAGAAAGTCTGTTATTTACTAGGGTAGCACTTTTAAGCTCTCTGACTTTAGTTTGGCTCATCGTCACGGTAGGCTGGGTGTTGTTTTGTCGATCTTATTCCAGTGCCTCAGGTTTGTCTCGGTTTTTTTTTTTGGTGTTTTTTTCGGGAAAGGCTAATTTTTGACACGTTTGATTTGGTATTCTTTTTGGAGCTTTTGCTTTTGTTTGTCAGATCTACTAATGCAAAGTATAATAAACATTCTGGTTTGTTACCTCGTTTCTAAAGATCTATGGCCTGTGTTGTAATGTTAAATCTCGTTCATTTTGTTTTCTTTAGCACTGCCGTAGTTGATAATTATTACCCAAGCTCTAGTATCCTCGTATCTTGTCGACAGATTCAGATATAAAATTCCAATATATTTTTTTCTCTTCGTCTTTCGGGACTTGTGAGAATACAACTATACTTCGACCTAACTCGTTTGCTTTTCTTCAGATCGCTAGAACTTAGGATGGGGCTTTGACACCCACCCCCCTCCCCCGACCGAAAAAAAAGTGTTGATGGTAATTTAATCAAATAACACAATCTATTTTTTCTCTTCTGAAAGGAAAAGCGAAGCGCAGTTTAATATTTCCTTTCAAAACTAATTTTTAGTACAGTGGCGTAATGGACCCTATTGTAGACAAAATCCAACAAATAGTAAACAACAAAAACTAAAGGAAGACTAGTTTTATCCTAAACTATTACCTATTGATATCAAAATCCATGTTCTGGGGGGGGGGGGTGTTACAATTTCATAACAATATTAACTTACACATGTTTCCATTGTTCATGCATATATGATACGAATAGGACAATCAACATAGCACTCAAAAGAGGGAAACGAGATAGTACCAAAAAAAATCAGTATTTGCCTATCATATTGTATTATTTAATACTGATGCAACCTCCATTTTATTTTATTCACGCTTTGTATCGTCATTGTAACTCAAACGTTCCTTGCTCGGGGTTCAATAAAAGTAGCAGGATTGCCTCATTTTGAGTGAAGTTTATTCATGCATAGAGAACTCGATTTTACCTTTACATCAATTGTTTGAAACTGAAAAGTAGATGTATGATCGATAAAAATATGCATCAAAATCTTTACGAGCGTGTGCTTGTTTTAGCTACGTCACTCTGAGTCGTCTTCTCTTTGTACGCCAATAGATTCAGTATTGAATTCAGAACCCATGTCAGACATTCGTGGTAAACCACTGAGTGCATGACCCGTAAAAGAAAAACGTACCGCATTATTCTATCGTTTTTCTGGAGGTAGGGGGTCTTTTTTTCTTTTTGTAGGTGCGTGTGGGGGGGGGGAGGGGGGGGTTCATTTCCCGTGCCAGGAGGGATAGAGTGTGAATGAGCACAAGGTTATAGACGGCGAAAGATCTTGCCAGTTTGTTTGTGATTGAGCGCTCGGCTGCTTGTCGTGTATGCTTCCCGGGAGACGGTTGTTTCTGACTGCTCTGGTGCCTGCTGGAGGCAATAATAATACTAGTAAGGTAATCTTGCTGTAGAACCTGAGCATACGCTATCATTATTATTATTATTATTATTATTATTATTATTATTATTATTATTATTATTATTATTATTATTATATTATTATTATTGTTGTTGTTGTTGTTGTTGTTGTTGTTGTTGTTGTTGCCTAACCATCAAAACAAAGATCAAGAATTACGAAGCATGCGTCCTCAGCACACTCCTTTATGGATCTGAAACATGGAGTTTGTAGGCCTAGAGCAGGCAAGAAAAGCACCTTGGCATGTTTTTAAATCTCAGATGCTGCCGCAAGATCTTATAGACATTTACGTGGCGCGACAAGGTTACTTACGTTGAAGTGGTGGCCTGGCAAACCTCCAGAGCATGGCAACTATCCTGTGTTGAAGAAGATTGAGATGGCTGGGCCAAGTCAAGGGAATGGACGACAACAGGATTCCGAAGCAACTTGTCTGTGGAGAACTTGCTCAGGGAAAGAGACCATGCAAGAGGAAGGCCAAAATTGAGGTACAAAGACTCCTGTGAAAACAGTTTATTATCTAAGCTTGGATTAGATGTCAACATCTGAGGACAAGAAAACATGGAGGAAAATGATAAAGGAAAGAAATAGTATGCTAAAGAGCAACCTCGGATACAACCAGGTGGCGAAGCGCCAACGACGAAAGGAAAACGGCGGAAATACAAAGCTTCGATCAACCTCATTGACATGCAAGCACTGCCACAGAATCTGCGCTTCAAACATAAGAAGAATTAGCTAATGAAAGAAGCTGCATAGAGACAACCTTGAGACCATCTGAAGCTAAATTGACCGTCCGCGTAGACGAAAAGAGCCATACACTGTTGTTGCTGTTGTTGTTGTTGTTGTTATTATTATTATTATTATTATTATTATTATTATTATTATTATTATTATTATTATTATTATTATTATTATTATTATTATTATTATTATTATCATTATTATTATTATCATTATTATTATTATTATTATTATTATTATTATTATTATTAGTATTATTATTGTTGTTGTTGCTGTTGTTGTTATTGTTGGTGTTATTATCGTTATTATCATTATCATTGTAATTGGCCGTGATTTTTTATTTCAAATTACATCACACCTGCACCTCTTTCTAATTCCCTTCTAGGTAATTATCCTTTCCTATAAAGATTGCACGGTTTGATCGGAAACATTTGTCTTTCCCCTCTACATGCTTTTCAAATTACTTAACTAACTTAGACACATAATCTTTCGTGGTCTAGATGTTAAGGTCGTAGCCTCTCATTTAATAGGTACCGGGTTCGAATCCGAATGGCGACGGACAATTTTCTTCTCCAAAATTTTCTCCTTTCACATCAACCCAGACAAAATTCAAAATTTCATACAAACTGAAAATGTTTAATAATATGTGTCCTGCGTGCTCATATAATCTTAATAAGATAATAATATATGCAGTTGTGAGCGCCGTAAAACTCTTACCAAAAAAACTTATTACACTCAAGATGTGATTTTGTACATGCTGTCCATTAAGTTAATGAAACAGGTTTTTGTGAATAACTATGGTTGATTTTTTAAAGTTGGACTCTGAAATTTTGAGACTGATTAAGATACTCTTCATAATTTGTCTATTCTGGTGACAATTTTTTTCTTCAATTTTACTATGTCATATCGAAGAACACTCAAGCAGCAGTGTGTGTAAGAATGTGAACCTTTTTCAAGATCTGACTTTTTCCCCCGACAAAGTTCACCCTATAAACAAAAGTTGTTGAAAATTGTAAAAGTGGTTTATGATTAATTCATTACAAACTCATCTACTCGTAAATGCCCCCCCCCCCCTTGCCATTCTCCTTGCTCTCAACTGTTACCCATCGTCTTAAATGTACCCATCAATTGCCAATGTGTCCACAGAAAAAGATTTTATTTTTTTAAGCAGAGAACAGCAATAATCTTTATCTTTAAGTTTTTTCTTTGCTATGATAGGACGCGTGTGAGAACAAGATTATAAACACACTTGGGCCTTTAAAAGCCGAGGTGTTCAAATACATCTATTCAAAATTTCTTTGTGGTTAATAAAAGAGCACCTCTGGAGCATTTTCTAGCTTAAGTTGTGACCGCCTGGACAGCTACTCAATACGAAAAGTCTTTATTTGCCTATCCTCGTACCAAAGCTGGCTCATGGCTCAATCGGGATAATGAATATCATAAACAAACTAAGTCAAAGTTATTCATTAATAAATGCAAGGAGAAAACCTTGCTTATTGGTGTCTGGGACAAACCAGTTTTTCTGAGCTATAAAGACAATTTTAATATTGTCAAATTATATAACTTCTTTAGCGTAAACATTTGTTATGAACTGATCCATTCTATAAACCGTTTTTCTTAAGCAATTCTTTATAAATAAATAAGCAGTACAATTTTCAAACTTGTAACCTTAAACCTAGTTTACAATCAAGAGGGTATGGCGTTACCTCATTTGGTTCTATGGCAGGCTATGGGATGGATGACCCATGTTCTAAAAATTGGGTCGTTTGGAAACGTATTAGGCTCTCCGCCTAGACGAGTTGTTTAGAAACTTCTGGACTCTCCGCTAACTTAGCTGAACCCTACCGGAGTTGGAGATTAAATTCTGGTGTTCTGACTCTCAAATAATCTTAATTTGTTAAAGGGTCTTCAAACCTAAACACTGATAAACCAAAAGTGAAACGTTTCTTCCCACAGGTAATTTAATTGTAGAGAAGGTGTCACCAGTCGAACAGATACAATGGCGACTACTTCCGCTCTGCATGTAGCTGATTATGTAGTGATGGCGGTCATGTTGCTGGTACCTCTGGGTATTGGCATCTATTTTGCAATCAAAGACAGGGGTCAGTCTTCCAGGGATGTCTATCTGCTGGGAGGTGGCACGATGTCGTGGTTCCCGGTGGCCCTCTCCATTTTTGTCACCTATCAGGCAAGTCTGGCGTTTTGTGTTTTGTCTATTGTGTGTGTGTGTGTGTTTGAGGTGGAGGGATATGTGTGTCTGTGTGTGTGTGTGTGTGTGTGTGAGAGAGAGAGAGAGAGAGAGAGAGAGAGAGAGAGAGAGAGAGAGAAAGAGAAAGAGAGAGTGTGGGGGCACTCGTGTCTAAACTTGTGTCTATGTACGTACGTGCATTTCTGTGTATCAACATTTTGATACATTATATTATATATAAAAATTATATATATATATATATATATATATATATATATATATATATATATATATATATATATATATATATATATGACCATAATATACAGTCTTCACAAAAATTTAACGACCACTTGCAAAAGTGCCCGCATAATAAAAACCAACAAATCAAATTATTCCGTCTTTGACAAACATTTAATTCGTGAATCCATAAGTGCAAAAAAAAATTTTCATAACAATCGAAACTGAAAGGAGTAATTCCCAGCGCTCAAAAGGGACCTACCCTCAAAATTGAAAATCAAAAAAGAAAGGATCTCAAAAAGTCTCAGCACTATCAAAGAAAATGACAAGTTTAAGTTCGTGAATGTCAACGGAATTGTCAGGAGCGCGTGTGCCCACCTTCAAGGCAAAGTATTCAAGGCATCGCTGTGAAAAGAAAAACACAAACATAATTATACACACGTCCATTCCTATGTTCACCACAAAAGATGACCACAGCGACGTGGGCAAAAAATCCCTCACCCTGTCCATGCGTGAAGAATGATACCCCCGAGGAACATGGATAAGGGTCTATACGTACGGATCTGCCACTGATGCTGTGTAAAGAGGAGGAGCCGGAGTGTATGTACAGTTCCCAAATGGACGACGACAAGAGGAGGCAGTCCCAACAGGGAAACATTGTACAAACTACAGGGCAGAGACGGAGGCTCTAATACATGGAGCAAACATCATCAAGAATGTGGTAGACCCCCAAAGCCAAGTAGTATTCCTAACTGACGCCATGTCAGTACTGCAGGCAATCACTGCCGGCAAACTACAAAGGCTACGAGAAGTAATTGAGGACATCCCATGTCCGAGGACCATGCTGCAGTGGATTCCATCACACTGTGGTGTCTTAGGAAATGAGCTGGCAGACAGGATGGTCAAACTAGGATCACAGAAAGAGCAACCAGACAACGGCGTTAACTACACAGAAATAAAAGCTACTATAAATACCCTATTTAAAGCACCGCAGACACCAGATAGCTACCATGAGCTGCCCCGTCAAGAACAAGTGATTATCTTCCGACTAAGAACCCAACACACAAGGCTGAGACAACATATGTACAGATGTTTTAAACTAGTACAATCACCAAAATACCAGCGTGGAGAGGCGGACCAAACAGTGGAACACATCCTTAAGCACTGCAAGACACACAGGGCCCTGAGACAGGAAACGTGGCCAACCCCACTTACACTACAAGAGAAGCTATACAGGCCAACAGATGAACTGAGCAGGACGGCCCAATTTATGACAGATACCAAGCTTCAAGTGTGATGCGATGGAGAAGAAGGAGAAGAAAGATTAATCCATAAGTGCAAAAAAAGAAATTTCATCATATTCGAAACCGAAATGAGTAATTCCCAGTGCTCAGAAGGGACCTACTCTCAAAATGCAAAATCACAAAAGAAAGGGTCTCAAAAAGTCTCCGTACTATCAAAGAAAATGACAGGTTTAAGTTCGTGAATGTCAACGGAATTGTCAGAAGCGCGTGTGCCCAAGGCATTCAAGGCATTCGCTGGTGTATGGAGTTGATCAGGCGTCCCATTCTTGTTGCAGCCATCCAAGCAGCTGCTGTCGGTTGGCGGGCAAAGGAGGGTGGTTCTCCCGAATTCTCCGACCAAGCTCAACCTACAACTACTGTTCAATAGGATTGAGGTCTGGCTGGACTGTTATGCTGGTCAAACCATGCTGGTAATCCGCGCCTGCTGTACGAAGGCGTTGACGGCCCTGGGCCTGTGCGGCGTGGCGTTGTCGTCCTGAAGGACAGAAGCAGGCCCAATCTGCTGCAGTGCCCGGACGACTAGAGGTCGAAGGGTCTCCTGCAGTTACCACTGCCCTGTCAGGATACCGTTGACATGATAAAGGGTGCTTCTGTGATTCCTGCTGATCCCCCCCCCCCAAAAAAAAAGCATAATGGAGACCAAACGGGACCACTTCTTGAACTGCATTGGCAGCAACTGTTGCTCCTATGCACGCCTCCAGATGCAGGTTCGGCCGTCACTGGGTGTCAGACAGAAGCGAGATTCATTAGTGAACAGGACCTCTGTCCACTTGGCACATGTCCACCTCTGGTGCGCAGTGCACCACATTTGACGGTGGCTTGCTGGTTCTGAGTCAGCTCAGGTTTTTTTACTTGACGACGCGCACGGAGGTTGACGTCATGAAGATGATTACGTATTGTGTGCGAACTGACTGTGGTGTAGATGGCAGCTCGCAGATGTGGCCTGATGACGCTGGCAGAGCTTGTCCGCTGCTGTATGGCTTGGATGTAGCGGTCCTCTCTCGCTGTTGTTTTCTTGTGACGACCTGTGCGACACCGTTCCTGGACTCTTCCTGTCACCGCAAACCGCTGCCTCAGCCTTATGATGGTGGAGTGTGATACCTGAAGTCTGCGTGATACTTCGCGTACGCCAACTCCATCCTGCAGTCAGGTAATCGCACGGGTCATGTCGAAGTCGTTCAACTTTTGGCGTGGTGGAATGTGGCATGGCGCGGTAATGCTGTAAAACAGAGCTGAAACGGCGGCTTTTGTAAGCAGACAAGCGAGCACAGTTCCTATAATAGCCAGAGGTGCATTCTTCCACGTGCATCTCGGTTTTTTTGCCATGCAGAAAGCCACAGGCATCGCTTACTGACGTTTGAAACTCGATCCAGTTTTGCCAAAATTGCAGATTTTCACACTCGCCAAGCATGCCGCAGGACGCACACGTGCCACCCACACAGTGGTTACCGTAATCACTATTGACCCCTTTGCCTTGCTACCGAATTTTACAAGATAAATCTGATTTTTTACAATGATTTGTTGCAAATACTACCTACCTACACACACACACACACACACACACACATATATATATATATATATATATATATATATAATTCTGCATCGCCTGACGCATTATTTCATCTATGATAAGAGTCACCCAAGATGGTCACCAAAAAATTAATGTTGAAAAATAAGACTTGGCAAAAAAGTAACGGTTAAATCATAAAATCTTAAAAAGTGTCTTCGCACGTGTATTGAGAGGTGCATTAACATTGGTGGAATGGACATTCATATCAAAGTAATTGGGAATATTATTTTCTTTGCAATTGACAATATCATTTTACAATATTTTCAAACAGACTGGAAAACAAAGCAGTCATAAGTTCCGCGTAGAGCCTGTGCTCATCAGTATTTTGTATATGAGCCATTGCTTTCGTTGTGTACTGCACGAACCCTTTTTGTGCATGGATTGTGTTGGTTAGATTTTGGACATACATTATATGTGAGTGAGGAACAGAGGCCACGAAACTGTCAAGATCTGGCTGGAATGAACAAAACACCGCTCTTGAGAATCCACGGATGGCTTCATTTAGAGGACTACAGCGTGCGTATGCTGGAACGTCGCGTCTTCCCATTATTTTTGCCGTGGTGTCATTCGAAAAGACGTCTTTATGCATGTCAAAGCACCTTCTCACAGGGCGTACGTCGCTAAAAAAAATTTGAAAGAACAAATCATAGCAACTGTGTAAATAGCCCTGATTGGAATCCCACAGTTATGTGGAGCCCCATGAAACAGCAGCTGAAGAAACCCGATTGTGTTTCCAATTCAGACGCTTTTTTTTTTCTTTTTGCAATTCCCTGAAAATGGTGAAATTATATTGGCTGAAGGCCCCTACCAACACTATTATGTTGTTTAAGGGGCGGGACCTCCTAGTTTAACGTCCGTCTCTGAAAGGACTGTGCAATTCCTTGTGGCATTTGGGATGAAATGACAGACAAAACAGCGCATGTCCAAATGGTTCGTTCTCAACACGAAAGAAATACCCCCAAAGCAAAATACCAATGAACACATTTAATAGTAAGTTTAGATACAGGTAATATATTATAATATTACAGGCAGGGTAAAAGTGTGCCTCCTAAATTATCTAAATTGTGTCGACAGAGGCGTAAAAGACTTATACAGTGCTTTGTAAAAGAATAATAATAATGCGAGTCTTCTGGGTGAAACGTGTCCACTGTGACAACAAAATACCCCCAACCAAAACCTAACCCCGCACACCAGGAGCATTTCCTCTTGTTCTGATGTCAAATTGCTCGGCCTGCAAAATCGTCTGTTGTGTGGATTTTGCACTTTTTAAACTTTATGTTTGTAGTTTATGTTGCATGACTTTTCACTCCCCCTATTAACTCCAAAGTCTGTGACAAATAGGCACTCTTTATATTGTGGTCTAATCTTTCTACTTCTTTCCATTTTCACGCTTTTCCTTATCCATGTCTTTGTGAAATGTGGTAATATGTGACCTACCTCGTTGTGCATTTCCCCTCCTCCTGCTCCAGATACGGAATAACGGAATATGGGATATCGAAATGGTTTATTGGGAATTAAACTTATTCTTCGTAACCCACCATCATCAAAACAGCAAGAACAATAACTACTTTTAAAAAGACGATATACAGTGAAACCTCGTTATAGCGTGCTCCCTTTGGACCCAAGATTTTGAACATCACCGCCGAGGTACTTCTTAGCCACAAAGAGTAAAAAAAAAACCAAAAAAAAACGAAATGGGAGTTGGGGTTTCTGAAAGTAAACATTATAACCGATAGTACGTTTTGAGCCGAGTAGGTTATACCGAGGTTTACGTCAGTGTACTTACAACGTAATCTCACCTATTATCATTTCATCCCCCCCCCCCCCCCCCCCCCATCCCCGACTCTCCCCAGTCGGCGGTGGCTCTGATGGGTGTGCCGAGCGAGATCTTCTACTCCGGCGCAATGTTCTTCGTCATCTACATCGGCATCAGTCTGAGTTATGTGCTGGGCTACTTCACAATCGTTCCTCTCCTGGGACCGCTCCGGCTGACCAGCATCAACGAGTACCTGGAGCGTCGCTACCAGTCCAGAGCTGTCCGCACAATGGCGGCCTTGTTGGGCATGCTGATGACGACATGCTACATGGCTGTGTCGCACCTCTCCCCGGCCCTGGCGCTACAAGTTGGTACTCCTCGCTACCTTAGAGTTGCAAACTTTTACCTGACATTTTTGGCTGTTTTGAGTTTCTAAAACCCTAAGGTCAGAAACCAAATGTTCTGTCTGCTCTATCAAAGGTGTATGATTATTCGAAGTCTTGTTCAACATATCAATTTTTAAAAACTGCGTTCGAAAAAGCTTGACAAGTTGTGAGACTCAAAACATTTTACGTCAAATTTCTTAAAACTAGGTACTGAGCAGATAGAACTTTGTAATTCTAAGGAGGCGACCTGAAAGCATAAGATCTTGTCGGTTTGATAGCGTTTTCGCGCTTAATCGGCTTGCACAATATGCTTCCCAGGAAAGCGAGAATGTTTATGAGTATTCTAGGGTCTGCTGGGGTAATAACATAGATTGTAAAGCGCATAAATATTGCTGTCGAGCGGGGATATGCTCCATACAAATGTCATCTATTATTATTATTATTATTATTATTATTATTATTATTATTATTATTATTATTATTATTATTATCATTAAGCTTATAATTACGCTCGACCGTAAAATGCTCAACTTTTTCGATCTACCTGTAGTGGATAGGAATTTGTTAAACGCAACTTTCCACAGCGTAAGGCTATTTTAATCTAGATATGTATTATTATGTTCGCCATCCCAAGAACAACCCGAGAGGAGTCATAAAGTAATGCAAGTTCTTCGCTATTTTGCACAATTTTACATCACATTTTATGAAATTCAGCTCACAAGCAATTGCCCATGTACTTTGGAGGTCAAACTGTTGAAATTCATTTTTCTTTGATTTTTGAGTGAATGACGTCGCATCAAAATGGCTACCCCCTTGGAGGCCTATAAGAAGCAAAGAGCTGGGATTAAATTTCTAGTTTTAGAGAGAAAATCTGCCAGTTACATCCAAAAGAAACTTCAAAGTTTTTACGAGGACCAATTAGTCAGTATTATAAAGTTCGCTATGACGCCGCTACTATAATAATATAACCTATTTTCCTAAAAAATATACAACAAACTGAATAGAAATCAACGCAGCTTACAAAGAACATATAAACATGCAGAATGATTCTAGATAAAGAAGGATTTGCTGTAATTTGGTTGATCTTCGTTATGACTGTAAACTATCGAGCTATGCTGTGTGCCAGCTGAAATAACGCGCCGAACACGACGAGTTAGGCCTAATTCTCTTTCGTAATTTTTTTGCTTTTTTTTTTACCTGTGTGTAGGCAGCGGTCGGCATGCCATTATGGATGTCAGTGGCAATCGTAGGTCTAGTGGGCACGGCTTACACAGCGATGGGGGGCATAAAGAGTGTCGTGTGGACAGACGCCTTCCAGACTGTGGTCATCTTCATCGGGATACTCATGATTATCATCAAAGGTAAGCTGTCTATATTTACACTGTCAATATCAACTACGCCTTCCCTTGTGGATTTTTATCCTAGACTTTCTATTGGTTGAAATGTCTGAAGGCGTCTCTTATGATAGTCTCAAGTTACGTTGAGTGTAGACGTCTTTTGAATGGGTAGTCATTCAGACGCCTTCTATTTGGCAGTATCTTGTAAAAACAATAATGATTTCAAATAAGGGATTTGGAGGATAGAACGAAGATGCGATAAATGAAAAGAGAAACAACCATAACAAGTATTTTAACACATTTTGTAAGGTTTAACTTTAACATTATGTGGTGTACATGGAAAGAGGAGGGGAAAAGAAGCACAACTGACAAACGTCCAACTTGTCTTCATAAAAAAACTGCATGTTCCAAAGTCAAATATATGATGTAAGACTTGTCTATTTGAATGATGTGACGTCTTCTGTACACATCTCTACCATGCGGGTGGTTGGAGGGCGTCACTGCTAGGTCCTACTTCTTTACATTCCCTCTGTTGTTTCTGTCAGTCTGTCTTACTTTATCCCTGCACGAAATGACCATTATTGTGTGGACGTGTCTCTCTTAACTGAAACAAAACAAACAACAACAAAAAAACGTCTCTTCCAGGATCAATAGCCATCGGTGGGTTTACTACAGCGATCTCCGTGGCTCGTTCCCAAGGGAGGTTGTCTATGGAGGAATGGAGCCTGGACCCACGTACAAAATACACCTGGTGGGGAATGACCATAGGCGGCACCTTCACCTGGTAAGTGCTACCTGTTTCTGGACACATGATTGTGTGTCATACTGAACTAGCCGAATGTAAATGTATGCCCTCGTGCTAGTTCGAGGAAGAACCAAACATAGCTTCAGCGTGGTTCTCAATTTTCTAGTTTCTATTTTGACGAGTACAACGTTCCAGTAGATATACGGAGATACTTGATAACCCCCCCCCCCCCCCCCCTCCGCTTCCCCCTCTTACACACACACATACACACACACACACACACACACACACACAGAGAGAGAGAGAGAGAGAGAGAGAGAGAGAGAGAGAGAGAGAGAGAGAGGAATCGAGCTCATGTATTCTGCATGCAACGGTCACCTCACAAACGCCGCCAATGAATGCACGGACATAGACACACAAACACAAAGACAGACATACACATACACATACAAACACACACATACACACGCATACACACACATATACACACACACACACACACACACACACTCGCACACACACACACACACACACACACACACACACACACACACACACACACACACACACTCACCTATATGAAGTCAGTCACTCCTTCCATAACATGATCACACTCAGTTATTCTACCCCCCCCCCCCTTGACCCCTTCCACCCTCCCCTAATCCCGATGCAGGCTGGTCAATGTCTACACACAGGCAACAGTTCAAAGAATCTCAGCCATGAAAAACATGCGTGACGTCAAACGTTCCTTCCTGCTCAACATCCCGCTCTACCTCATATGTGCGATTTTCCGGTGCTCTTTGTGGGCGTGGTCATTTTCCCTTCTCTTTTGCCTATTTCCACACTTTTCAGTGTGAGCCTTTTGCGGTAAGACTTTAGCTACTTACTTCTTGTTGCTTTATACCGTGTGTGTGTGTGTGTGTGCGTAAGTGTGTGCGGGTAAGTAGGTGTGCTTGCGTGCGTGTGTGGGAGCAACTGCGTGTGTGTGTGTGTGTGTGTGTGTGTGTGTGTGTGTGTGTGTGTGTGTGTGTGTGTGTGGTGTGGGGGGGGGTGTACTTTTGAACATTTCCATACTTTGGTGCAAGCCTTTTGCGGTGAAACTTTAGTGACCTATTTCTTGTTGCTGTATGTTTCGGGTGGGGGGGGGGAGAGATTATCACTTTCTTGGATTCTTGGACTGGCACGTCCTATCCGTGAGAAGGTATCGTTTATTCTGTTTTGGTAAATGCAATAGACAATGATTTAAGATTGTGATAATGGTCACTTGTTTAGCTGATATCTCGATCGACAGTTAGCTCTATGCGCTTTACATTCTATTTCAACCCCAGCGGATTCTAGAACATTTGGAAGCATTCTCGGCTCCCGGGAATTTTACCGTGGAAGTGCTCAAACACTAACAAACTGGCTTTCGGTGTGTATTATCGGGTACCCATTTCCACCTGGCTGAATTGAGGAATGAATTCAGTTCATCAGTAAGATGACAAAGACGTTACACGACAGCGGACCCACGAACGAGGCGTAGAACGGAAAGACAGAAAACAAATTTAAGAAAGAATTCTGTAGAGCTAAAATCATTGGAATTTATCCTTAGTTTAAAGTCTAGAAGACACTGCCTGTCGAATTCATTTGTTTCAGTCGTGGCCAATCGGATTTTCCTTCGTGGGTGGGGCAAAAGTTGTCATTTTAACGCAGAATTCGATTGTGACCTTCAAAATAAAAAGCGTTTGTTTTTCTAGGTCGCTAGACGAATTCAATTGAATTGTACCAAAATGGTGTCCTATCTGGTTGGTTCCGACTAAATTCGGTTGAATCCGATTTGCAGTGTGCACTCAGTATGTCCAGCGGTTAACAGCGCTTGTGTGTGTGTGTGTGTGTGTGTGTGTGTGTGTGTGTGTGTGTGTGTGTGTGTGTGTGTGTGTGTGTGTGTGAGTGTGTGTGGTGAAAAAATTTTTCTACCCCAGAGCGGAGAGATCTCCAGCCGGAACCAGATCATGCCCTACTTTATCCGACACGCCTTCGCAGACACGCCAGGGGTGATGGGTTTCTACGTGGCCACTTTATTTAGTGCATCGCTCAGCACCGTGTCGTCAGGTGAGATTTTTTTTTTTTGGTAAGTGTTCTACGGCGCTCGCAACTGCATAAGGTCATATGAGCGTGTGGGACACATCAAACATTTTCAGTTGATATGAAATTTTGAATTTTGCCCGAAAGGCGGCCGAAGCCTAGTCTTATCGAGTTTGAACCACCAAGGGATCTTTAACGTGCGTAGTTTGCACAAGAGACCTCCGAGATTTTTAGCCCTCGTCCCAGAAGGCTAGGTGTAGGTCTTTCCTACCGGAAGATCAGGGATGTGGCTGAAAGACAGCAGTAGGAAAGAGTCAAAGAGTAGCAGTAGAAAGGCTACAGAAAGAGCCAGGACCCCAGAGGAAAGGGCAAAGGATTTGAGGGGGTGGGGGCTGAAAGTAGAGACGAAAGCAGACGACAGAACATTGCTAGAGAGCAGGAAAAGAGGTAAAAGAAGACAATTTTAGAGAAGAAAATCTTTCCTTCGCTACCCGGATTCGAACCCGGGACCTTTGAATGAGAGGTGAACACCTTAACCTCTAAACCACGAGAGCCCCCGCCCCCCTTCATGGTTGAGACTACCAACATTGTGTTTGGGTGTAACCGTGTCGCGACGTAGTGGAATTAGGCGCTCGTTAATTTTTGGAATATGTCTTTATAGATAACATCCTAAAGCTTGCTCATTTTGGCTTCTTATAAATGAAAAAATACTCATCTGTCTCTTATGGGCGTCGAGATACATGCAATTGAAAGGGATGAGGGTCGTTGGTTTCAGAGGTAGAATTAAGACCAAAAATAAAACGTCGCCATAATTTGGTGACTTCTAAAGCTGGAGTGTCCTTGAAATCTGCACATGTACATAAAGTGTGTGCCTTTTATCAACGTGTTTCACTAAAATCCATGAATGAATATATGTGTTCTTAAGTGGCAGAAAAAGGTGTGGAGCCCAAGACTAAAAAAAAAAGAAAAAATAGGCAGGAAAATGTTGGATTCTTCAATTTCATTATTTAGACAAGCGGCTAATTTCACCACGATGACACGCTGTTAGTTTATTTATTGTCTCTTCTGAACTAATGAGAAGCTGGCTTCTGCAATATCAGCGTACTTTTGTCAAACGGCCCATGTCTTTAGGACACTCTCAACTTAATCTGCCAGTCAAAGTCTTCTCCGGCCTCCCAGTGCAATTCTTAGCGTTCTGTAACTAAGTGTGTGTGCTTCATGACATCTGTCTGACCAAATTAATTTTAGTGCATGTCTAGATCTGTATGTCGAACCATGTTCAGAATTCAATTTTTTGTTCGAAACAAATATACGAAAAGTTAACATAACTATAATAAATACATTTTAAAGAAAAGAAAATACACAAGAAAGAAAGAAAGAGAGAAAGAAGGAAGGAAAAAAAAGAAAGAAAATTAAAGAAAGAAAGAAAGAATGAAAGTAAGAAAGAGGGGAAGAATAAATGAAAGAAAGAATGACAGAAAGAAAGAAAGAAAGAAAGAAAGAAAGAAAGAAAAAAAGAAAGAAAAAAAGAAAGAAAGAAAGAAAAAGGAAGAGAGATAGAATGAATGAAAGAAAGAAATAATGAATGAAAGAAAGAAAGAAAAAGAGACAGATAGAAAGAAAGAAAGAAAGTAGGAAAAAAGAAAGAAAGAAGTATTAGGTACAGACTGTGTACTCCACCAATGTTATAACTTCTTTCTCCCCAGGAATTAACTCCCTTGCTGCCAACACGGTGGAGGACATCCTGAGCGGACCCCTGAGCTCCGTCAAAGAGCACCGAGTGACACAAATCACGAAGCTCATCGTCTGTGTCTACGGCGCCATCACTGTAGGGCTCGCCTACGTAGCCAACAACATGAAGGGGTCCGTGTCACAGATGGCGCTGTCAGTGATGGGCGCCACTGGCGGGCCAATCCTCGGGGTCTTTCTGGTGGGTGCATCGGTACCCTGGATCAACAAGTACGGTGTTCTGGGAGGCGGCTGTCTCTCTATAGCTTTCAGTGTGTGGATTGCGTTGGGTAACCAGGTATACAGCAAGAAGAGTAACAATTTGCCTTTCGCGTACACGGGACAGTGTGAGGCCAACATCACTTGTCCACTTGGAAGTGATGGCGTGACGTGCGATACAAGCACACTTCTTTTCACGAACGACACGTCTTTTCACGGAAACTACTCAGTGGAAGTGCCAACTTACACAACTACGTCCCCTTATTTGACTACGAATGGAACAATTCTCGACTCTGGTGACTTCGGCTTTTTCCTGTATGATATTTCCTACGTATGGTATGCTCTGATTGGCGCTGTTGTGAGTTCGGTCGGTGCGATGGCGATAAGCTTTGTCTCTCGCAAACTTGTGGAGAAAAAAACAGATCCAGCTCTGATGTTTCCCTTCAGTAGGAAGTTGTGGTCAATGAACGTCTCCAAGCCCACCGAGGAGGAAACGGAGAAAAGCCTCGCCACCAAAGACACTGTGATTTGAGGCTTGGGATATGTAGGGAAAGGATACAGAACTAAGTGAAAAGAAGTATAATTTTGGAAAATATATATTTACTGCATGATACCTATAATGAGGCGCTCTTGGTGTGGAGTCTTTAGGGCTGACAAACGTGAGAACAGAAATTGATTTGCTCAGAAACACGTTCTCACTCTTACGGAACAATAAACATACAAACTTCAAAGCGTAAAACTCTCTTCTCTCTCTCTCTCTCTCTCTCTCTCTCTCTCTCTCTCTCTCTCTCTCTCTCTCTCTCTCTCTCTCTCTCTCCCCT